AGGGAGCTTTGCGCGCATGGGAGGGGCAGCGGGAACATGGCCGCGCCAGTGTGCAGGGCGCGCACAGCAGCGTGAAAAGCAGCATCGGAAAAAGGGACTCTGTTGGCTGCCTGCCTGCGCGTGAAACGACGCGGCGTGGATGTGAACAGCGATACGTCGTCAGCAACTCCAAAAGATCTAAATCCTATCGACTTCCATCACTAAACATGTCATGGAACAAAATATTACGGCGTTTTGTAATTATTTTGCGCAAAACAAATCGCCACAAACAACGCTTTAAAATATAATTTCCGATTTTTGAGCTATCAAACCTACCATGGAACAACATCCACACGCCACATCACCAGTTGCATTTTGAACTACTAACTTGCACTTCCAACTCTTATTTAAGTTCTAATTACAAGTTATATTTTATTTTGTTTATAAAAATTATTTTCATGCTCAATCCAACCGAACAAACTATTCGCCATTTACTTGCTAGAATCGTTATCGGACATTCCTAAATATCTTTACGCACTGAGCAATTTAACTTGGGGTTGATTTGAGTCCACAAAATTGAGTCACACACGATTCCCTTATCACTTCAAATATGTTTTAAATCAAAAATCCGAGAAACTCGTTTCAAAAAATTTTCTTAGGCCTAAATCTCAGTGCTAAACGAGCTCGTAACACCAGAGGTGTTACACTGAGGACGCCGAAGCCCAAGACCAGCATGGTGGTCACACACCGGGGCGGCTCCATGATCTCTGTCCAGGATCTAAGCTGTCCGGATCTAGCGCGCCACTCTCATCCTTCCCGGCTGGCGCGGCGCGACCGGCTCCGGAGTGCGGCGGCTCCATGGCTGTGTGCCGATGCCACATGAGGATGACCGGCCGTGCTCGCTGCAAAGAATTACTCGATGGTCTTGCCGTCGGACTTATGGCCGAGCTCGCGCTCATCCTTCCGGAACGCCTTCGAGCACGTGCGCCCCAGGGCGGCCTCGCTACTTAGCGCAAGCGGCAGCCACGTGCGCCGTGAAGCTGGCGGATGTGACCATCTCGACGAGGGGTACGTCGACGAGGGCGTCCCGGTCCCCAGGGCCTGCGGCGGCAGGGCAGTAGCCGGGGTGCTCTGCCGTGGGCTTCCGGAGCAGGCCGACCTGCAAATAACGTCGAAGACGGCGGGGCGACGAGCAGAAGCACGAACGCCGCTGCGCTGCGGAAGATCATGGCTCTGAGGAGCCCCTCACCGGCCTCGTACGAGTGTACCGAACGCCGGCCTGAATAGTACGCACGCCATGCTCTGCTCTTAGCCATGACATCATATACGCTCTTTTTCCCTTTGAAAATTAAAGAAGAAATGTCTTGAAAATACAAGTATACGTATATTAGCCAATAGGTATCATGAGCCGTCCATTCTTTAGTCTGTGGCCTAGGCGAAAGTAAGAGGGGAAGGGCAGCATGGTCTTTTCGCATTGGCTGATGACTCAGCGCCATCGTGGCTTGCGAGCGTGGCATGCCACGGGAGCAAAAATGGTATTTTTGTAGCTTATTTCTCTCTCTGCTTGTAAAATCATATCGCCGATGGTAAGAGTGCTATCTGAGGAGTCGCCATCCGTTATAATGGTAAAAGTTAAATATCCCCCTGTGCGGTACCATGCGGGCGCAGCGAGGAAACGGGCGGATGGGGGCTAGGGCGTTGGGCCAACAGGAATGGGGTCTGAAGAGAGGATTTGGGTGCCCACCCCAATTTCAGGGCTGGAGTAAGAGCCCTGCTGGAGCATGTTTTTAGTCTGAGCCCCCATATTTAGCTATGGGGGTTCAAATAGGAGGTCTACTGAAGTTGCTCTGACATGTTTTAGTTGCTCTGACATGTTTTAGGAGCTATTGCTGGAGATGCTCTAAGACCCTACCAGTCTACCACCTCAGACTATAAGAGAAGCCCTTATATTTTATGCAAGGGCTCTAATCTAGAGGCTACTGCTGGCGATGCTTCTACAATTCAAGAATGATGTTATATACAACAAGTTACACATGCACGCATGGAAAAAGAAAAACAGAAGTGCTCGCACATGCAAATCCTTGCCCACCCAGTACAGCGGCGGACTTCTTTGTCACAACTGCTCTCCTATTTCTGCAGGTTACATAATGCCAGATTCACTTTCAGGCAGTGAGTCATTAGATACTCAGGATTAGATATTCAGGATATTTTGATATCAGCATTATATACCCATATTTTCTAGGAATCTGGAGGGGCCGAGGCCCCTACAGCTTAAATTAAATTAACGAGACAAAAGCAAAGTTCAAAAGAAGTATTCAAGAGACAAATAAGAAACGAAAAAAACAGTTCTGTTCGCTTATGCATCTCAATACACTTGCATAAATCAGTCTCCTGAGCTCATATCGAGGTCTCAGCCTCGCAGGCATGAGGCATGATTTGATCACTGATCAATAAAACTGATTAACAAAAGGATACTGATTGAGAAAAATGACAATTACTTCGCCAAAGGCTATTAATTGAACATAGATCAATGGCCAAATATTTCTCCTATGTACTACTAGTATATCTGCAATTCTATCTTTCCTAAGAATTAGGGCCTGTTTGACACAGGTTGAATCTGTTGGCCCTCGATCTCCCTGCACAAGTGAGTGATTAGCTCACCAACACCCTCACACACTCACGCATGGCTAAGTAGAACAACCCTGAGAACACAGCACACACACAGCTCACAACTTCAAAACTGAAACTCTGAATGTGTTGCAAACTGAACTACTTTGCTCTATTGCAATGCCTTAGTATATATAAAGTTTATTACCTCTATAAGGTACACTAGAGTATGGCTGACCTTAGCCCAACTACTCTCTACATGGCTGATGTATGCCACTACAATATTGGCCTATTGCCATACTTCTAATAGTACATAAGGTACAACAAGAGCTGGCCATAGTGCCAACCCTCTGCTTGAGCAAAAGACCAATCAAGGGCAGCAGATTATCTTACAGAATCCAGAAAAGAGCTCTGCCAAATAGTAGTATTTGAAAGAGAAGTGATTCTATGTTGATGATTCTCTGTAATGAACTAGAAGGCTAGGAGCAAAAAAACAAAGGATAGCTTCTTTTGATTCACTTGTACAAAATCACTTTTCACCCATTGTTTATCCTAGAGAATCAAGAGTAGAGGATCTCTATCAAATAGGCCCCAAGACCGTGTTTGGATGTTGTAGTATTAAAAAAACGGGCCCTGTTTGGATACAAAGTATTTTTTGGAGTTTTAGAAAAATACCATGGTTTAGTGAAATAGTTTGGTTTTAGAGTGCCATGAAGTGTTTGAGTGCAACAAACTTTATGGTTTTGAATACCATGGTATTACTGAAACTGTAGTCTTTTTAGAGTTTTAAAAACTCCACTCTAGACCTATTTTTTCTAAACCACGGTTTTGCACATCAATGGTTCTAAAACTGCAATTTCTTGATACTATGGCTTCTTAATACTACAACATCCAAATAGATGCTTAGTATAGAAACTATAGTTTTTTTAAAAAAAACTGAGAAACTTTAGTTTTAGAACCCACTGATGTGCAAAACCATGGTTTAGAAAAAAAGAGGCCTAGCGTAGAGTTGTAAAAACTCCAAAAAAACTATAGTTTTAGCAATACCATGGTATTCAAAACTATAAAGTTTGTTGCATCCAAACACTTCATGTCACTCTAAAACCAAAGTATTTCACAAAACCATGGTATTTTTCTAAAACTCCAAAAATACTTTGCATCCAAACAGACCCTTTTAATCTGTTTTGCAAGATAATGATAATCTCTTACACCGTTGCAATATTGTACAAACAGAAGTGGAGTAGCAACAACATAAGCATTGGAATGCATGACAATGTATGCTGCATGACAGAAACTATAGCAAGGAATTAAATAACATCACCATACAGCCTGAGAAGCACATGGCAAGCCATGCTAGCCAATCAAGTATATGGAATCTCAGCTAGACTGCCAAACATTATGTGATAAATTCAAATCAATAAATACCTGTCATTTTAGACCCAGCAATCCCATCTTATAGAAACACAAGTACCAAACAGATCATAAAAACTACAAATGCTAAAGGATGATAAAAACTGAGGCTCTGATGAATACTCAAAATGGTGTAATGTACATAGAAATACTGCAAACACAAAGCATGCCATCAGTTGTTTGCTTTATCACATCCAGCAACTACTATGAAAACATTGAAGATATTAGTGCCATAGCCACAAAAGTCCACTAGTTTGTCAATGTTGCTGGTCCTAAAAATGGGGCGGATCCAGAAAAAAAAAACAGTAGGAGGAGCTCCTTCGCTTTATCTTCTACCTCTAGCGCCCCCAAGATTCTATGGCCGCAAATCTGTAAGAAAAACTATATACTCCCAGCAGCAGCAGGGGGGCCACGAGCCTCACCGACCCACGTGCTGGATCCTCCCCTTGCTAGGTAGTGAATCTGAACAAGACAGGAACATGGCTTCTTTGTTTGGTGTTTCGGAAGACAGAGAAAAGAAAGACTGTTCATTTGGAAAGCTAACATTTTTTACATAGGCTGTGGAAGTCCTATGAAGTATTTGGAAACTAAAATAAGATTTGAGCGCTAAAGATTATTTCAGGTTTGTGTTTTTGACAAGTTAGTTCTTCATACAATCAATCAATATAAACAGTAGACATCCCAAAGACTGAAAATTCTTTTGTTTTTGTATGTCTTTGCTTTTCCATATGGACCTACCAGAGAAGTATGCCACCAAAGCAAGTTAAGAGGTTCCACCATACCTGAGACTAATACAACTGAAAATCAGCAGATCAGCTACCAGAATTCACTACAAGAGCAGTTACCATCCTCAAAATGGTGGAAACGACTAGCATCTCTCACTATGATCTTCCTCTGTGCAATCTCACTGATAAACTTCACTACTGTGTGACAGTCCCCGCAGACACGAAGATTCTTTACAACCCGAATCACTGATCCCGGAGGGGACTTGAGTATTCCAAAAGCTACAGCCAGCCTCTCAAGAACAGATGCTGCTCCTTTTCGTGCTCTTCCAAGTCATGCATCACAGAGCTAGTATCAGGGACATAACCCCTCTTGCGCATCTCTGAGACCAGTTCCTCAAGAAAACCAGTAATTTCTTCTCCAACATCAAGGGGAACCTCCCCAGCATGAAAAATACGAGATTCCTTCCCAGCTTCAATCCAGCTATACCCTGGCTCCTTTCTTATCTCCATCTCAGCCATGATTTTTCTTACCTTGGCCACTGAATCCCACTTGCAGTTAACTGCATAGACATTAGATAACAAGATATACGTTGAAGGATCTTTTGGCGTCAGCTCTAGTAAATTATCAGCGACCCTGAGACACATCTGAGTATCGTTGTGCTTCTTACAGGCACTTCATAGGGCGCCCCAACTAGCTTCATCAGGCTCATATGGCATTGTAGTGATGAGTTCTTCAGCTTCTGATAAATAGCCCGGGCGACTAACAAGGTCCAGGTAGCAGGTATAGTGTTGCAGTCCAGGCTTGATGCCATATTCCCGCTTCATTGAATCAATAGCTGCCGCCCTTTCTAAATAAGACCAGCATGACTGCAAGCATAGATCAACCCAACAAATGTCACCTCATTGGGTTTCATCCCTGCAAGAAGCATCCTGTCGTAAAGAGCCAATACCTCCTCAGCTCGACCGTGCTGTGCCTCTCCAACAAGAATTGTCGTCCACGAGATGACGTCACGGACTGTAATCCCCTCAAACACTTCCCTAGCAGAGTGTATGTCGCTGCATTTAGAGTACATGTCAACCAGTGCGTTCCCAACAATCATACTGGACAGGAAGCCAAGCCTTATTGCAAAACCGTGCAGCTGTCTGCCCAGCACAAGCGCAGCCAGGTCTGCGGCGCCACCGACAACAGTCGCCAGCACGAAAGCGTCATCAATCCTGACACCATCCCGCCTCATCTCAACAAACAGCCCGACAGCGCCAGTATTGTTTCCGGCCTTGACAAACCCAGAGATGAGCGCAGTCCACGTGAAGAGACCGCGTGCAGGCATGCTCCGGAAGAGATCAATCGCCTCGCCGGTGCAGCCGTTGGACGCGTACCCGGAAACCAGCGCAGTCCACACGACACTGTTCTTGACACCGATACTTTCGAACACCTTCCGGGCATCCTGAGGGACGCCACAGTTGCAGTACATGTCGACAAGCGACGACTTGACGATGTCGTCGGCGCTGTACGGGGAGGCGACAAAGTGGGCGTGGAGCTGCCTGCCGAGGCGGAGGCTGCGCAGCCTGGAGGCCGCGATGGCGAGGGAGGCAAGGACGAAGTGGTCCGGGCGGAGCGCGTCCTCCGAGAGCATGCGGCGGAGGAGCGGGAGCGCGAGCGCGGGTGTGGGGGAGCGGGAGACCGCGGCGAGGAGCGCTGAGTAGAGGTGGAGGTCCCGGCGCGGCGCATCGTCGAAAACGCGGCGGGCGTCGGGGAAGAGGCACGACCTTGCGTAGGCGGACACAAGGAGCGCCGGCGCGGAGGGGAGGTCCGCGAGCCCCTCCTTTAGGAGACGCGCGTGAACGCGGCGTACGGCCCGCGGCGAGCCCGCCGTGGCGCGAATTGCGGCTGCGGCGGCGGGAGGGAGCATGCATATGCATAGGAAGGAGGGCAGTTCGAAGTTCGAACGGCCGCCGCGCTCCTTGTCTCTGAATCTGATGCTCCAACGGCATTGTGCCTTTCCCTTTAATCTCGGCGGCATCTGAGCCGTTCATCGGGTAGGGAAGGCCGAGATTTCGCCGGTTTGCACACCACACGGCAACACCAAGCCTGATGAAGAGACAGCGACACTTCCAGACAGGTCAGTTACAGTTCCCTACTTCCCTTCCCCGCCGCCGCCGGCGGCGTTCGACGTTTCAGGTCCGGCGCCCGGCGACATGCCAAGAAACGCGCCTAATAGCCGCTCCGTCATCTCTCTCCTTCACTGTTCGGTGTTCACGATTGCTTTTAACAGCCACCAAAAGAGTGGCAGTCCCAACTCCCAAGTCTTAGTCCCTGTTTGACACGGCTTCCGTCGGTTCTGGCTCCGCCTGACAAAAGCTGCGCTGATCACTGTAGCGATGAGCTGGTTTTCTCTCTCCAACTTTTTGTCTCACTGTAGCAGGGGTACTGTAGCATGCGGGAGATGAAGTCGGAGAAGCCAGGAAAACGAGCTTCTCCGGCTCCGATGAACAGTGCGAGTGTTAGTGAGAGAGGAAAGCCGCTTCTATAAATAGTGTGCTATAGTGTCGAAAGCCCGAGCCAGCGGAAGCCGTGCAAATGGGCCCTTACTCACCATATACATGCAGTGCAGATACTCTGTCCGCTTGGTCATGCTACGGTTACAGTCTTATTAGAGAGGTAGTTTTAGTGATAGACACAGCGTTACGTTGCTACATCATGCGTTGCATGCATCTCTGTGGGTAAAAATCTGGTGTTGGCTCAGTAAGTTGGTGCACGGTGTCTGCAATTTTGCTCCGTTCGATCGACACAAGCTTGTTTACTGACTTCAGCTTGGTCGAGGATATATGTGGATTTTGAATGCCAGCTGGTTATGTGAGCATAGTGCGCTCTGTTCTGGAGTCTCTTGGATTCCTGCTAATCTTCACCAGTTCAGTTAACACAATACTCCTATGTGCAAGCCTGCACTGCAAGGTCCTGTCTGAGCCTCTTTTTGGTTCAGAACACTGGAGACGTCAGAGTTCGAGGCATGCCCTGCCCCGGCCCTGCACCGATGCACGCGCAATGCCACAGGGACAAAAGAGCAGATGCCACACTCTGCATTTTCAGTTACATGACTGCATAGCTGATTAGCTGTGCATACAGTTTATCAGTCATGTTTCTGAAATACAGGCGCCAAGAAACACTTCTAGTTCTAGCTTCAGTATCGTAGTATAAGCTGTGCATCTGTATGTCGCTAGAGTACAACTGATTGCGAGATGCATGATTGTGGCATGCATATACAGTCTTACAGAAGTACGATACTGCATCTATCTCCAACAAATCTTTCGCAAGAAACTCAAATTTGAGATCAATGGTCAAAGAAGAGTATGAAATGAAACGCGTCCTCGCTGCACAGATACATTGGTTCGTGCATTCTTTAGACTGAAACCTTCATATATGTGACTATGTCTGAAGTCTGAACTAGCACATAGGAGAAAAACACCAGCATGCGGGCTTCCAGTTCCAGTTCAAGCGTCAATGGCACAGTGTCGACAATGTTCTACAAGCTTTTGGTTTTTTTTTTCCTCGGGGGTTTCAGAAAAGCCGGTACCTATACTACTTTGCTGTCGGTATAGCAGGCAAGTAGGCCCGTGCTAATTTCCCTGTCCATCACATCATGAACAAGATAACACAAGAGATTCCTTTCAAAAAATTTGTTTTAGTCGTTTCAGATAACACAGGAGGTTCCTTTCAAAATAATTTGCTTTAGTCGTTTCAGATAACAAAAGAGATACCACTATTCATCCCACAGTATGCATGTCAAAATATTTTCAGAGTGAGTTCATGCGCTCTGTAAGTATCCACTTATCCAGCTGGTTCTCTGTCTATCATCAGACTGAGCCGACGACAGTAAGGTAGTCCAATACTGACGGCGACCAATTGTTTGTGGTAATGTGTGATTCTGCTAAATTGGTGTCGTCTGTGCATGCATTGAAAAACTGGACCTCCTGATCTCACGCATCTGATGGCGGTCAATGATGGATCTTTGCAGTGTGGTGTGCATGTGTGTTTGAGATCATGGTTTTAGTGGGGCTAGAGATGAAACGAGAATTGTGGAAATTTGGAGGTTGGGGTGCTGCATGCTTGCTCATCATCACACAAAAGCATGATCCAAATGGAATGCATGCTAGCTTTGCTAGAAGCTGGACCAGCTAGCTAGCTATGCTGATATAGCTCATGAGTCATGATGTAAGAGTCAATGCTAGCTTTTAATCAGTTAGTGAAGGTGTATAACGATTGGATGCCCGAAATGTAGAGGTCGGATCTTTTGCATGGCAAGTAGCATAGCACAGGAAGGATAGATCATGCATTTAACTATACAATATGTATGGTAACTAAGCTAATGTACATATACTTCAGAGGACTACAAATTATCTGATCCTTGTTATAGTTTATAGCTTTTGACCAGTTTATAAAAATTATATTAATATCTATAATAACACATAAATGCACTAATAATACATAATTCATAGTGGATCTGATAAAAACTAATTTGACACCGCAGGTGTTAGTGTATTTCCTATAAACTCGCCCAACATTACAGAAAATGTTTGGTTTTAAATAAAACAAAGACCTACATTTTTGGAACAAAACACTAGAATTTTTTAATCTAAAGCTAGTATGAAGAAATTTGCAAAGTGCCAGTGTTTCACTGACATATAAACCTAAATAAAATTTACACAAAATGAATGAAAACCACCGAATGATATATATGTAGTCTCACTTTCTCAAATTAATTATGTACAGCTACTTAAAGTTTTGTGCTTCGACAATTTAGTCGCAAATATAAATCGATCTATTAGGTTACTGACAAGATCTTTGATATGACCATTGGACTAAAATATATATAAATGTATATATAATGAAAATATTGTTTTTCGGGATTACATTAGAACTAATCGTGTGCTGTGTCAGTCTATTTGAAATTGTCAAAGTTAAAATTTGACTTTGGACATATTAGAGCTAAATATACTTGCATTTGTGATAAGTGATGTATATGATTTTATGTTTACCTTTTTGAACTGTTTGGAAATACTTTAATGACTTTAAAATCTTACAATAATGTTCTTGAGTCACTAATTGATCATATGCCATGTGGACAAAGTTTACAGACACGCGGCACTGTTGTTTGACGATTTTCTAATAATATGGTGACTAATTAACTGACTATATATATAGTGAAGAAGCGAACGTGTTGGTAAAAATTAATAAAAATAATTGTATATCCTATATGTTTCAGCCTTTTATATCTTTAGGTGATTGTCTATGATTTCCTGTGCCTGTGACCTGATGAGTGCATGCTCTTCTAGTTTCCAGCTATCATGGACATGAAATTTAGCATGCAAAAGTGAGAAAGCAATTCTACCAGTTAGATCAAAATGACTGGTTCATAAGTGGTGCAAGATTCATGGCGTGGCTTCTCAAGCTTATTATTAGTATTTTACTGTATTTGTTTCTTACCTCAAATAATTAGCGCATACCTGCATATAGGTAGATGTGTCGGAGGGGTGATCCAGATGGCTCAGTTAATGTGGTGAAGGCAATTGAATCTATTATCATGTTGAATTTAACAAAAATATGTATGTTTTATTGTCAATAAACATTGCTAGAGTTGTTAGTACTAACCTATATATTATTTTCCTGCAACTTAAAAAGGAAGCTCAGCACTGTTTTGTTTAATGATGTTTGTATTTTTTTTCTAACACAGAAGATCATGTTTAATTAGTTTTAAGAAAGAGCATACGGGAAAATTAGTTTTTATGGACCATTATTGTAAAGAAACGTTTTGTTAGACCATTTTAACTGCTAGCTAGCTTATAGTGTAAAAATTTCACACTAACACTGATTATATAAGGGCATGCGTGTGTTTGGTTCATCTGCCCATTTTGCTAACTAGCAGCCTTGTTAGCTAGTGCAGTAGTGGGCATCTATATGTCCTTCTACCGGCTACATAAAAAATACTTAAAAAAAACTTTGCAACACCCTAGTCTGAAACAAAGAAGGCTGTGTGTGATTCAGATTTGTGACCGTGAGTTGCATTATTCATCTTTTTTGCTCTGGTAACGTGATGCAATAATTACCAGCTGGGAACACCGCTGCTTCTACAGCCAGCTATTTAATATTTATAGCTGTCGAGCTGACGTCCTTGAGTAGACTATATGTACATCATAAATATTTCTGTATATAAATGCAACGAGAATTATAGACTCCAGAGAACACACCAAAATATGATGCATCCAACATGGATGACCCATCTTTGTTGAATTGATCGATAAAACAAATTGAGTAGGCTTGATCATCTGCCAAATAGATCGTCTTTTCCATCAATCAGACTGAATATATATATATAGTACAACTGAAAGAGCTAGCATACCAAATTGCTTACCCCCGAATATGCATCTTCTCAGCTGCTTGTCTTGTTTGCCCTTTTCTCTTCAGCAATTGAGCATCAGCAGAAAAGAAATAACACACAATATGTGCTCTGTGACTGTTACTCTGTTAGCACCAAGTAAAGAAGAGCAATGACCAAACACTGTTGCAAAGGTAAAGAACAAAAGCTGTTGCAATAATCACATGAATCATTCCATGGATGCGCAAAGACTAGATCTGAAAGAATACACAATTCCTGTGGGCACATGCAAAGCTTTTTTATCTAACCACCCATGCAAGTCTTCCTCCCAATCATGCAGAAACAAACAAACCCTGCTGCAACGATCTGCGTCCAATCATGCTCACATTATTTCATGTGTCTTACCTTGCAGTTTAACTGCAAAATGAAACCTACCAAAACCTTTTGGGAAATTAAGAAAAATACACCAATTCTAATAACTACTAGTTTTTAAAGGCACGCATGGAATCAGGAGGAATTAAACTTGCATGCTACTGATTTTTAGTGATCCCATTATGCTTACAGACCACTTATCTTCAGTTCTGAATATAATCCTGATCATTTAAGCTAGTATTCTTGATCATATATACTAATCGACATGCATGCGTTGT